CCGTCCCGGCCCCCGCCGCTGCCGCCTGCGCCACCGCCGCCTCCGTCCAGCAGCTCAGTGCCGAAGTGGCGGAGCTGCGCCGCTGCGTGCAGGACATGCTACAGGTGGTGCAAGTCCAGCACAGCCAAGCCTGAGGAGCTGCAGGAGAGCTCGCCTTGTCTCCTCTGCGTTGTGCTTTGCTCCGCAGGCCCAAGGTTGATGTTTTGATCTCGATGTAGGTGATGCGAATCATAGCATGTCTTCCGAGGATGGGAAAGATGCCATGAAATCTCTTGGTGGTCTTTCCAACGACTGAATTATTTGAAGAATACTTAAGGGGTCACTTCATGCTCCACGATGTTTATATTATATGTATTTTGTGGAATACAGTAGGTACTACTTCTGATTATTGTTCTCAAACTAATTCGAGCCATCCTATTCATGACGCTCATAATAACTTCGTTGTTGCTTTTGTTCCACTGATGTTAGTTTTCAGCTATTCTTTTAATTTTCTTGGTTCCCAATAAAAATGTATCATGTCATTGTGTTTTATTATTCATACTGAGAAAATGTAAGACCCTGTGATATGCTGAGGATTGATGTACCGACTCAATAGAAAACCACGAATTCCATTCCTATACATCTGGCCAAAAACGTACTCTCACCCTCTCGTAATAATCGCCGCTTTATACTTTCCGTTAAACCTGCTTCTTGGTTCTGATTCGTTCTCAACGTTTTTTAAATTCACAACAAAATCTCATAATATGCACTGCAATTTGCATCTAATCGAATTGCAATTTTCTCTTCGATATTTGAGTAATAGTGATATTGACATAATACTTCGAAGTAATAAAGTAGTAAACGATTTGAAAAACGATATTATTAAATACTGAGCCCCTGATGATAAAATTAGCCAATAAATATATATGAGATGAGTGTACGCACAAAATTGGTAGCGATTATGTTCGAAGAGGCAATACCAACAATGATCGAGATTTCATCTACCATTGCCGTGGCCTTGCACATTCTCTTGTAACGTGAGAATGGATCTGAGATAAGTAATTGGTGAAAATAGTCTGCATTTGCATTTGCTACGTGCTTTGGAGTGTCATTCACATCATTATTGACAAATACGAGTATTATATGAGCACGTTTTTCTAGTCCCGGAATACCTTCCCCTATTCCTTTACGAACTGGAATACGTATTACGCATAAATAGTAACGAGCGTTGTTTACAAAATCTGATGACGAAATTTTTGCTCCCGAGTAACGAAGACTATTTTGCATCGAAAAGCAATTCACAGACTTGATATAACAGTCATGTCGAAATAACTATCCCTCCCACTCCTCTAGCGTTAGCGAAATGAGGGCTCAAGAAAACTGGCTGCTTCGAACTTTGTTTCGATAACATTTTAATAACTCGCGCTTAATGATGAAAATGTAAAAATAATTTGTGAATTTAAAGTTAGTCTATGTGGAGTGTGCTAAGTCAAAAAGTTTCTCAATGAACTCTTGCGTATAATTTTCTTCCTGAAATAATTTGGAAGATGACACGTTTTCTCCTTGTCTGTTTGTTTTCTATTTGAGGATGACATTCGCATTGTAAGCGCACAATGGTAATATATACTTACCGAATTGGAAATGTGCCAATGGACTCTGCTGTGTTTTCTTTGCCTTGTAAGTGTTGCTATGGGTTTTGTATTGCGAAAAGGAATGGATGAGTGGATGGTAGCATCCTCCTTCTATTCTTCTTTGCGTAAAGAATACTGTGAGATATATTGAGTTTGTGGATATTTGGATTTCTTCAAAGTTCCTAGGAAAATCTTCCCTCGTCTAAAATCCATGACCTATTGCAATGGACCTTCATCAACAAAACCTTATGCACTTTTAAAAATGGATATCGTGAAAAGATGTAACAGAAAATATATTGTTTCAGAAGGACGACTTTTCATTTCGCGTGATGTACAACATCGCCAATATACTATTAATGCTCTTTTATGATTTTATGTAACTGAAACACATTTACAGATGGCAAGGTCAACTGGCTTCGGGGCTCATGGCAGGTGCACCCTAGTACACTAAGGTTGTGGGACCTAATCTCGCGTAAAGTTTGAATGTTTTCAATTGCATTTGTGGCAAGAGGGTCATCTTTGTCTCTCATGAATTATATTAATTCATTCTGCGTAGCATGTCGTTCACCACATTCATAAGCAAGCGCAGCCTAAAACAGGAGGGGCCAACTACATTCTTCTGGATGAATTTCCATTAAACTTGTTTTTAGTTTCTTAAGACACAGTTTTCTAGTAAATAAATAAAAGGGTGATTGAGGGATGCATTTAATAACACTATTAAGTACATTTGATTTAATGTTGAACCAATGGTAGGTGGTTTGAGGACAATCGGGAATTGACAACATATACGAAAATAAAATGTTTTACTAGCGTAGAGCTGCTGGTCCCTTTTCGAAATTTTCAAGGGGGGAGACACGGCCCCTGCACCCCGCTCCCTTTGTCCTGACCGATGACTGTGAGATCTGTGTGTGCAATTGATGTGTGCTCCCTAGACCCAAAAGAATGATACAAGCACTGAGATGTGGTCACGGGCTACCAAGGGCATGTGTAAATGGTACAGCACGGAAAAGAGCTTATAGGCTCCCTCGGCTTTCTTTAGGGTAGCACAAGGGAGCTCTTCATTGGGAATTGTCCGGAAGGGAGTGGTACTTACCGCGGGGGAAAAACGGTCATTGGGAAACTGGTGGAACAAGGTCTAGACGTTTCCCGAAAAGAAAAAGGAATTAGGGAACTAGAGAGTCTGTCACTTTGGAGCACCAGTAGCTTTTAATCCTTCAAATTTTTTCCTAGTTATACGCGTGATCTCACTTTTTTTTTTCTTTTTTTCTTCTTTTTTCAACAGTTCTGAAAAATGATATCCCATTTGGTAGTTTCGCAAAGGAAATAGAAAATCTGTATCAGAAGCTACTTCATAAAAATTTACTTTCAGATTTTTTATTCCTTTTCATTATATGGGGAAAGATAACGCTAGACCCATTTTATGGATCTCTAAATCATTCAAATCATCTTAAGAGCGAACTCTTATAAGCCCTCCATTAATGATCATGTTTGACTCCGATCAATGGACAAAGTTGGAAAATGAGTTACTATCCTTTCAAATATGAAACTTTTGTGAGTGCCATATTACCAGATCCATGATGGAAATTTCCACCATGACCAGACCTAGAGTTTTGAGATAGAAGGTAATATACAAGGGTATCATTTTATGCAAATAGGGAGACTCATTCAGAGTTTTTGATGATCCGGAGTTTCAAAAAACATTACAGCAAACATATTCAACATGTTGCAACATATGGAATTCAGAAATGGTGTTTGCTTTGTGACACGTTGTGTGAACAAGTGTAAAGGTAGTGTGGTCCATAGTTTTGGAAGAAGTTCAACATTAAAAAATTAACTTACTCTAATACTTTTGTTCCTTACAGACAATGGTGTGTAGCAATGTCAGAAACAGTATTGATGGACCAATGATAGAAAGTTAAAAAAATATAATTAATTTAAATTTTCAATATGAAATTAATAGTATGCAAACTCAAAAAATATGTATTTCCAAAATAATAACTGATATTAAAACAATATTATTTTTAGTGTATAGATTTCTTGATCACTAAATTCAACTGTTCATGACATACATTCATATTAAAAACCATGATATGCTTGTTGGCCTACACCTTTCACAAATTAAATTGACAACACAACTTGCGATTTTTAATGTGATCCCGAAGGCCAGACTACTTTTGAAACTTGCAGACTCTCTTGGAAACCCAAAGAGGAGGTAATCCCCCAGCTGACATGTAATAGGCAGAAGATTCATGATTAATGTAATGCTTTATGGTAGTTTTCTTTAATGCTTTATGCTCACAAATTCTAGTCAGTCTCATCTCTAAACTCCTTTTAGAAGGAATTATTAAACTCTAACACAAAAAACACAGTTCTTGCTATGTTGTTTCTCAGTGGGTGATGGAAACGAGAGCAATCAAATTTTAAATAAGGGTTGGTAAAGTAACTAAACTACTTTTGGTTAAAATATTTCAAAAAGATGTTTATTTTTAAATTCATTACAACTTTCAACTAGTGACTGCAAGTTGTTTATTTAAAGTCCTTTGTATGTTTCTGAACAAAAGGATATACAATAATATATTTTGCTATATTTTATTTTCTCATGAAGTGAATGATACAGTGATTTGATGCTGACATACAAAACATCTGTTTGCCAAAGGTTTGTGTAGTTTTATGAAAAGTTTCTGTTTCTTCTCTTTATATTTACTTTTTTGTACTGTGATTTAAAAAACTGTAATGAAATAAATAAAAACTGTTTGTTTTTCTTTTTGATACATTCATTTGATCCAGAAATTAAAATATTGAATTGAAAAATAAACGTAATAACTTTTATAATAATATTGAAAATTAATGTAAGACTGTATTTATCACTATTTTTCCCTTTTTATGTTTTTCTAGCACGTTTAAAATGTAATACTGAAGTTTTTGTACAAGCTTGAATACTGACAAAATTGTTTATAACTTTCTGTATTTTAGGGACATATCTGTTCTTTGGAACAACAATTATTTTTTTAAGTTTTAATACTTTGTAAAAAAATTATTGCAATGATCTTTCTTATAAACAAATACAGTAGTGTAAGGTGTAATAAATTGATTCTGCGTATTGTTGTTGGTTTGTTTTTTCTTCACCCAGTTTTATTTATTGATCCAAAGACATTAGTACCTAAGAGATTTTAAATTAAATGATTGAACTTTTTTTTTACTGTCTTAGACCATTACCTATACATTTTCTATAGAATAATGTAATGAAAATAGAATATGTTGACTTTGCTTTTAAAGAGAGATGATGGTGAAATATATGCCAGTTAAAATAGTTACCCGTGTATTCTTACATTTTCAGATTATTTAGCTCTTATAGCAATTGTTTGAATTCTGACCATATTTATACTTTTTATGTGCTACATTACATTTTCAAGAATACATTATGGATGTACACAGTACATCCATAATGTATTATTGGTTAATTCAACATTGTTTATAAATGACTTGCTTTATTAATATTTAATTTTTAACCATTCTTTATGTTCTTACTTTTAATTCATGCTTATATTGTAATAATTATGTCAAGTGAGTGATTCATTTGATATTGAAAACTCTGACAAAAATGTCAATTATTTAAGACAATAAAATTTGATTAAAATCCCTTCTTACATTGAGAATAGAATATTTAGTCCCTTCTTCTATTAACCAATTAAAGGAGTAATTGTATCTTGTGTTATTTTTACAGATTTTGTTTCCACTTATTATGACCAAACAGTTGAAAAATGTGGATGTGGAAGCTGAAGTAATTGGTGGTGGCCCATCTGGACAAGCAGGAGCCATCCGCTGGGGAATTGCATTCTGCCTGCGTAGCTTTGTGGATAAAGAAATGATTGAACAAATGAGACTTGGTAAGAGGCTGAAATACAAAATAATAGTTTGATATTAATTACAAGATTGAATTTATAATTTTCAATTACATGACTGATGAATGATTTGGGTGTGAATGTGAAAAGTGTGTGAAAATGTATTATATTTAAAGTCAGAATTAGTTGGTGGTACGGAAGGCACATAACAAGATTGGGCAATTTTGTAATAAAGTGAGGATATAAAGGTGAGAAAATTTCTGACAGCAAGCTGTGTACTCCCTGTCTTGAATGCATGGAGGAGAATTTACTTTGCCAAGTTAATTGGATTCTAGAATATAGATTAGTTTTGAACAGTTGCTTCATTATCTAACAGTTTCAATCATCCATGAAAAAATATTCACATTTATTATAACAATTGAAGTGTAAAAACTTTTTAATTTAATTATATTATTTAAATTTAATATTTCAAAGGTTAAAATCCCCCCCCTTCTTTAGCATTACATAATTTATGGATGACCTCTAAAAATCTCTTAATTTTTAAAGCTTTATTTTTTCTAATTTTAAACAAATTGATGCAGAAATGAAATTATATTCATCTACAGATGTGGCCAATTTATTAGACTAAACATTTTTTCCTTGACTGAACAGGCTATAACATGTCCTGGGAATCCCTTGACAAACTTAATGGTTTCAAGTGTAATGTGTATAAATGGTAGAGATGTAAACATAGTTATCAGTATATTCACACACAACTAATACCTATTGGTTCTAAAGAACCAATGGTTACCTCATGTGAATAAGTGATTCGGAAAAAATCAATGCAAATTCATGCATGGTTATGCTCCATAACAATAGAAATATGATGTCTTGCAGACATCAGCGTGTGCTCCAATGAGCTGCAAATAGCCCTGACATGAATACCGCAAAAAAGAAACCGCTTAAAAGAAAGTGAAGAAAACACGGTGATAAAAACTCAAAAACCACACATTTGCATTTAGAACAATGACAGAACTTGAAAGAATGGATTAAAAATTGATTCTCAACATACATTACATCAAATATGTAAATTATGATCAAGCTGTTATGAAACTGTTAATGAAACTCGTACAAACAGTTTGTAAAAAACTTTGAATTTAGATAAATAACTATTCATAATATTTGGAAAAAAAGAATAATATAAGTAATTGAAGAAATACTTTAAAAATTATTGAAATGGACAAATTTTTTCTCTCTGGCTGGAATTATTTTATAGTCAAATATCTATTAAAATGTATATCAAGAGTAAAATTTTTTTTCATACAATTTTGGTACCTGTCGTTTAGGAATGAATTTTTCTTAAAAATAATATTTTTTTTTATAGCGGGCTTACTAACTCGAGACTACCGAAAACCAGAAAGGAAGAAGCCTGGTCAAGCTGGAAAGAGGAAGAAGTTTACATGGAAGAAACGATAAACTTTCCCCAAAAATAGGTATATCTGGTAAATGATGTATTGTATAAATATTTGGAAATCTACAATAATAAATAATGATCTTTTGGTTTTCATTGAAGTGAAACACATGTAATACTGTGAAGAGTCACTTTTTCTGAAAAAACAAATTCTGGAGTTGTATTAGAGGTACAGATTCATTCTACAACTCTTATTTCCTCAAGATTACTCTTAATGTTTTTTTGATAATATTTGTAAAAGGATGTTGTGTTTGTTTCATTTACAAAGTAATTAAACTAGTGACAACTAAAAAGAAAATAGGAAAATGTTTTATAATTTACTTTCAAAAACATTTTATTTCTCCTCAATTGTAAATTCGATAAAATATTTTACTATAACATTACTACAAAATTGAGCAACTGCAGAAAACAAAGTATCAACAAATGTATGTATATCTCAATACAAAATGAACACATCTCCACATTCAAAAATGTCATTTTATTTACAATACTGGCACATAAATGCATTTCTGTCATTAAATAGTTACATTATTCAAATAGCTAACAATATAATTAGAAAATAAATTACCAGAACTAAAGAAGAAATATTCACAATATTAATATTTACAATGGATTTGAAACATTAATAGGTTTGTACAGTGCAGAGCAAGTGCCTTCATAATCAAGCAGAATTAGGAAGCATTTTGAAACCAGTGGTGGATCCAAAAGGTATTTTGTAGTTTGGGGTGGGGGGCAATTTCAGTTTGAACCCTCCCTATCATAGATAATTTTCAAGTAAAAAAACGTTTCTTTGAAATAAAAAGGCTATTAATAATGGGAATGCTCCTTTGGATGTCATGCAATCAATATGTAGTAATTGTATGGAATAATTTGGGTAAAATTTCAGGTAACTGTAGGTTAGCCCTCCCTGCCTCCACCACTGTGAAAACACATTTTTTGCTTCAAAAGTACTTTGTATGGAATCCAATGAGCTTCCTAAAAATGCATGAAAATAGTTCTTTGAATTATGTACAAATATCATTGGCCTAAACTAACATTTCTTCATTTACTGTCTTTCCTTTCATATTTAGGAACTGATGTTACATTCTAAATCAAATAGTTCACACAATAACCTACATCTCTTCAAGTGGCTGGATTCCCAGTATGCGCAGTCCTTGATTGAGAATTAAGCGTGAGGCATGAAAAAGCATTAAACGCTGGGAAGCAATGTGGTTGTCCTGTCCTTTAACTGGCAATGTCTTGAATGCTCGATTTATGGCATTACTGTAACAAAGATTCACACACTAATGTTAAAAAATTAAATGAGTTATACTTTGTATGTATGTATATATAACTTCATTTTGTATCAATGTTGGAAGCTTTCATTGTTTGTTCACTAGTTTCACCACAAAAATGTTTTATAATTTATGAGAACATTAATGTTAAATACACATGTTGAAATCATTTAAGAATAATTTCTGAATAAATTTCCAAGATCTGATTGAAACAGAGGGTGGGACTAAAGACATATTTAGCAAAATATTTAAGAGCAGAATTAATAATTGATAGCATTTTTCTTATGGTCAAACTTCTTTCTCAAAACGAAAATCTATATTGCCTAGTTTCAAAACTTTTGATGCAGGGTCTGATTAAAAAATATATAAAATAATGTTTAATGAGGTACAGTTAAATAGTTCAAACAATAATTACAGCAGCTAGAGAACATTGGTAGAAATGTCCATTTATTTTTTTTATTTGTTAGAACTATGATATAAGTCATCATCTAAAACATTATTAATAGGAAATAATTTTCACAGATGAAAACTGAGAATCTGGAGTTTTAAGAATGACAATTTTGCAATAATGTATGAGATATAATTTGAAAAGGGTACTTTTCTAGCTATTTCATCTTTTTTAAATTTCTTTCCATGTTCACAGTTTTTCATGTCAAACTAACATGAATCTCATAAAACCCTTCACCGTAATCAATAATATATAATATTACTAATATATAATGACACTAGGCAAAATATGCATAAAACACACAGAGATAATGAAAAACTCATTTTCGTGTGTTTCAGAACATACCATAATTTGAATAAGTAATTCACAAGAATGCATGCTTCCAGTTCTTCATAAGAGCGTTTCAATACATCATCAAATCTGAAAACAAATAACATAACAGCATCGTACATTTGTAGTTAAATGTAAAAATTAGTTGGTAGACTCAAATGTGTACAAACCTTGCTATTTGTTGCACCAACTGAGTAGCTTCTTGTTCAGTTAATACTGATGGATCACAATCATGAGGTAAAGTTGCACCAGAATTCTTCTCTAAATTCCAGAGGCGACAGTGAGTATACTGAAGACGAATTCCAGTGTCTCCCTGAATCTATGACATAAGTTAATCCAATACATGAAATAAATTATCTTTTGAAGCACAAATAAACAATAAAATTATCCATAATTACATTATATTTGTCAAACATAACAAAACATTCCCATGGAGAAGAAAAAGTAATAAAATTTATTGAATAGAAATAGCCAACTGAATTAGTATTTTAAAAATACACTAATACACTTGACAGATATTCAAATCTGAAATATATTATGTCCCTTTATACATAATTACTTCACATTAATAATTTACAAATTTAATCAAATTTGATCATGAACGTTCACATTTTAAAACGATACTTACTTGTGTTGCTCTGTCCCAGTCAAATTCGTAATCTCTCTGTCTTCTCTGTTTGAGATCATTAATAATTATGGCTGATACCCCAAGAATATCAGTAATTTCAGGAGATTTCTGTAGATTTACTTTTGTTGCTGTAAACATAAATGGGAAGACAAAAAATATATTTCTTGATCGAGGATATGTATTGTAACAAAATAGCCAAGATCCTTTGTACACATACTAGGAGATTGTTGTTGTTTAATTTCCACCATTTTTCTTGTTTTGTCTAAAATGTCTTTCAGAAAGACTACATTTCCAGATCGTGTACTCATACCATGCACACGGCCAAATTTTATGTGCCTCAACTGATTTGCCCAAGGAAATTGCATTTTCTTTAATGTACCAAACAATGCAACAAAGTGATCGGTTTGTGCATTGTCTACTACATATATCATTTCCTCAAATTTATGCTTTTCAAACCTATCAATTGCAGCAGCAATATCTCGAACAAGGTAGAGCGTAGATCCATCACTTTTCAAGAGTGGAATTTGTTTTTCATTTAGGCACACTGCTTTTTTACCATCTTCTTGGGTATGAAGAATGCACTTTTCATTTAACATGTTGACAACAGATTGAATTTCTTTTGCACCATACATGGATTCCCAAGCATATTCATTAAATACCACCCCAAGTCTTCTATATACACCTTCTAGTTCTGTAACTGTATATTCCCTGATTTTTGTCCATTTCTCCAACTCGCTTGTGTCACCTTGTTCCAATCGATAGAATATGTTTCGAGCTTGCTCTGCTATATTTGAATCACTTGCAGCAGCTTTGTTAGCCTTAACATAAGCCTCAAACAGGAGCTGAATAGGATTCTGTTTGAGTGCTTCAGGGCTATGCGCAGCCATGTCCAAACCCACCTTTAATAAGCCAAGCTGTGTGCCCCAATCTCCCAAGTAGTTTATTTTCACAACATTACATGAAAGATACTCATGAATTTTGGCAATAAAATTGCCAATGATGGTGGATCGTAGATGGCCAATATGGAAAGGCTTTGCAATATTTGGAGAGCTGTAAAAGTGATATTATTCAGGCCACATTCATATTCTTAAATCACATCAAGATCGGTTAAAATTAATTACCTGTATTCAACAATAACAGTCTTTCCAAAAGGGTATGGTGCCACATCCAAGATTTTCGAGTAAGGGTAAGGTTTATTAATTTTATCATTAAGAACTTCTTTGACAAATAAATTTCTATTTAAAGTGAAGATGAGACTTTCATTATGACTTTCTGCTATTGCAGAAATTTTGTCATCTGATGACAGATATTTCAAATCAGTTAATTTCATTCCGTTCAATGAAACATTACTGTTCAAGGTTTGACTTAGTGGTTTCAAAGGTAACACAAGCTCAAAATTCACACCATCCTTATTGTTTGCAACAAGAAGATGACGCGATAAATTCGCATGAACTGAACTGGAAAAACTTCCAGACAGCTTAAGGGTCTCCATAATCTGAAATGAGCGGTAAATGTAATCAACTATTAAGAAGTTTAGAAGGGCACAAAGTATCATCGCATACATATTTTATTGAATCAATACTCATAAGCTTTGTATTGTTATGAGCATATCTTATAAATAGTACAGGTTAGGGTTTGCACAATATTAATAGATTTGTTAACTTACACGGCGACTAACATGATGTTTGAATTTCGACGCCATATTTTGGGAGTCAAAACATCTTTTCGACAGGATTCATAAATACTGCTAACTAAAAAACACAAAGATATTAAACAATTATTAACATTTTCAATCTCCTCCCCAACTGCTGCCAACATCTACCCTGCTCCCAGCCTGCTCCTACCGTCCCCCACGCACTTCCAAGTCAACTGCGCTGCGCTCCATCTGGTAGCGCATTCTGGCGGACTACAAAATTATTTTCATGGCTATCATTGGTCAAATTTATACCACTAAAGTCCAAAAAGCTATGAGTTATTGAAACCGCATCTGCCCAAGAATTCATTTACAATAGGTAAATAAATTATTTAAAAAATTTATATCTTTTATGTTGCATTTTATTGATTAAAAAGTTATTGATAACTATTTGTTTCTGAAACAGTCTTTTAACTGAACATCTTGTTCACGTGACGTCATGGCCGATGTGCAGTCGCCATTTTATCATGTTGTAGTGTCGATGGTCCAGCTGACCTGTCATCCTCAAGTCGCGTATTAGTGGTGTTTAGTGCCGAATTTGGGGGTGTTAAAGCCCCGACGTGTATATAAGTGTACTTTTTAGTGTCTGAAGAAGAAAGATGGCGGGACAGACGATAAACGATAGGTTATTAGCCGCAAGGCACAGCATCGCCGGTCAAGGATTGGCCAAGTCTGTGTGCAAAGCAACGACAGAGGAAATGATCGGACCCAAAAAGAAACATTTAGACTGTAAGTAGATACATACATTTTTATTAAATTATTTTGCGATGCAAGTTTCTGCCCGAGGGTAAAGAATATCGAATGTCGTAAAACTTGTCTCCGGTATGATTAAAAAATTCAATAGATTATGGTTTAATTTTAGGACCTGTGAAGTTCTAAGCATGAAATAAGACGCTTGTTAAAATTTATTTATCCGTGATCACAGTTCATATTCTAATGCTAATGACCATGCCTGTTATTAGTCTCTGATCGTGGCCTAATTCTCTTCACATTTGACATTGGCAGGGGGTGAGATAGAGCACCATTCTGAGGGTCGTTCTCAATTTTTTTGGCAGGCATGCAGGTGGCGTTGTTAAGGCACTTTTATTCAATCATTCCAGCCACCAGATGAAAGCGAAAGTGTGCGTCGGCGCGGAGGCGATTGAGCTAGCCGTAGAATTGCCAATCACGCCACATCTCAGACGTAGACATTTTATTATTAATAACGCGACGAAACTTTCTCTCGGGCGTTGTGGCCAGGCTAGCAGCCTCGCTCGGCCGGGCGCGGGCCCTTGGCGAAGGCGGTTCGAGGGAGGTCGCGTCGACCGTGACCGCCACCTTGCGGGCACAGGTGTCAGCCACGGGGCGGGCGTGTGGGGAGTAGGCCCGGCGCGTGCATGCGCGCACGCGGGAGGACAGGAGGGCTCGCCCTGACGAGTTATCGACGACGGCGTGCGCGCCGCCTCGAGCTCGTCCCGGCAGCCGGCTCCGGATCAATGCGACTCGTCGCCTGCCTCGGCGCTGTGGGGTCCTCGGGGGCGAACCAAGACGTGCGCCTCGCCTCGCTGGACGAGCGGCGGCGTGAACCCGCGACCCGCTCGTTCCTGTCCTCGAAGAGGCGACCGCGGTTGCGACCGCTGCCGCGGAGCACGGTCGGGTGGGGTTCCCGCGTGCGCCGGGATCGATGGCCGCGCGCGAGGAGCAGGCCACAGTGGGCCGAAAAGACACCAAAAGCGCTTAGAGTACATTTTCAAACATTACAGTGCGAGCATTCCAGTCATAATTTCAGAAGTAGTATGAACCCATGGGCAACACTATCCTCCCCTTTTACTTAGTTTCTATTTGTATCATTTATTTTCAGGGTAAGCAAGGTCTGTGATTTGCGGCTGTATTTAGCCTCATTTAACCATTAAACCGACTTGCAGAATATTTGTGTCCATAAATGTAGATTTTTTTAGACTTTCTTATTCTAAAATTCGCAGAGGACTGCTATTGAAAAATCTAGTTTTTCTTTCTCATCGCAATGGATCAATCAATAGATCTCGTCGCTCTGTCGCACCTTGAATTGCGGTTCGGTTCCTTCCGATTTTTGGAAGGTCAAAATGAAGGGGAGGCATATATTGCGCTTACGGGGCAGAAAGGTACCTACATACAGGGTTCCCTCAAACGTTTTACCCACAGCCCGTCCAGGACCACATACAGATCCCTAACATTTAACATTGGTTTCTGAACGTGCCGAGCTGTGAATCATAGTAACGAGAAAAGGTGCGGGTTTAGGTCACATGTCTTCTATCTTTGATCAATTCATTAGGCTACTCAAAAGTTCAATGGAAAGCAAGCAGTTACATCTGCCCACATTAATTTTGATTTTTAACGCAAAATAAACGGTTGTTCTGAAATGACCATTTTTTATTCATTTACAAATTTGGAGTACCAAATTTGGAACACTTATCCGAAGTTCGACTTTGATGCGTATGAATGCTGCAAATACTTTCGGTATTTTGAACGTTTTGCACCTTGTTGCTGCGCGCGACTTCAGGCCCAATGTGCGGCTTGGCGTTCGCTTTCGGCCGCGCAGAGCGCCCCCGCACGCCCCGACGGCGCGGGCGAGTACGTGCGCTCGCTCTGGCGCGTGCACGCCGGCCGCGCCTTGCTCCTCAGCAGAAAGTCACGCCCACTGCTGTCCCGTGGTTTGGGAAGGAATACTACCCTTGATCTGAAGCTTCGATGTGAGAGATTCTGTTCTGAATTGGACCGGTAACTAGGATTTTTTTGTAGGAGTCCTCGTTAACATCTCTTCTGTTCTTGCGAGTGAAGTAATTGGTAGGGATAGAAGTATTTTGGTTTGCACCTTTGAATGCGTGAAAGAGTTGGGATGTAGCAATCTCATGAGATTGTGATAATGAATGTAATTAGGACACTCTTTTTGATCTTGGTATTCATTCCCCACATGTGTTAGAGAAAAGCCAAGACTTACACTTTTTGCAATTGTATTTGTTCAAGTACTATTTTATATCACATAGAACGGGAAGTCTATGGAAGATCTGAGTTATTACAAGGTTATTACAGTTCTTCATTGTTAGCGCCTAATTACTGAAAACTCTATCCCTGCCTTTTTCTCCTCGCTTTGTTTTGACGTAAGCTACTTCTAAATTAATATAACTTATCTGAACTGATAGTAATGTTTCCGAATCTCTCTCCACTGTCTCATTCGCTGGTGCTATCATTCCAGAAATGGACTGTGTGACTACTATTGAAAGGAAATAGCATAATTTTAGTTTTACGATTCGTCTGATACAAAATACAAAGGCCGCTTTAAGGTTATTTTAAAACTTTCCCAATGGGCTCGGATATGCGTTAAAACGCATTCTGGCCAAGTATTGGTAAAGTCTTACAACTTTTCTTCCAATGTTCCTTGCCGTAGATGGCCTTGGTGTTTTCAAGTCGTTCTTCAGTGAGAGATACGGGGTTAAAACGGCCATCCTGGTTTGCCTTTATCTGAATTTACTCATTCGCATAGTTCCTTGCGTGCTTTCAATGAAGTAATTTTTAAGTATACCTGCTGCTAATTTTCATATTTGAAAAATACACGTTGGTCGGTGACTCGCTTCATCAGAAAGCATTTATTCACTTTCGTTTCGAGTACATAGTTTAAAGAAATGAAGTGTGTAATAGAATATAGGTCAGTATTAATTTTAGAAGTGTCCATTACTGATTAGAATAACTGGCTGGGAGATATGCCGGGTCCGACTCTAAAATGTTCTCTCAGCGGCTCACAAGATCTTTTAAATTTTAATCCTCATTAGAAATATAAATTGGTTTATAAAATTATTTACAAAAAAATCGATGCGTAGAATTATTTACTTTTTTCCTTATCAAACTGATACAAGAAGGCCGTCACTATTGAATTTTTGAGATCTTAAACTGTTTACGAACCCCCCTTAAACGCCGCGTACGTGTCCCAAGGGACTCCGCTGTTCTAGGATTTTGGCTCTCGTTGGGTAAGAAAGCCGTAAAGGAAGAAGAAAGAAAATTAGGGCATGTGGACGGGCCGGGAGGAACAGGCAGATCGAGCGGGGGCGCGGGCACCGCCGCCGCCGGCCGGCGGGTCAGCGTTATCGAGCCCGCTGGGCTACCCCCGAATCCATAGCCTCGTGCCATAGCCCCCTCCACCGCCCCCGTCAACGACCCACTCCGCTCGGAGCACAGCGGCGCGGGCGCACGGGCCGGCAGCCAGCGTGGAGTTGGTTCATTTGCAGTTACGCCGGCGCTGAGTGCGAATGCAAGCTCTTGATGGCCGAAACTGCGATGTGCTCTCGCAGGGATGCGGTCTGCCGATCTTGCGGGCGTCGATAAGAATTAACTTGCACGAGAATGAGCTGAATGAAGCATAATGGAATTTTTTAACGTAGACCTACTCATTCCTTGCTAATGAATACTCATTTATAATTTTTTTCAAAGGTTTTAATCGTCAACGTCCTTTAAAGTTTATGAACGCTTGTCAAATTTGTGCAGTACTCTTAACTTCTTGGAACGACCTGAAATTTGAAATTACCTTCTGAATGCCCTTGCACATGTTCCTAGCAGTTCCTTACGACGCGTGCCGTGTACTTCAAATTATAGTAAATGAGCATGGTACATCTTGATAAAGGACCATTCATCAGTGACATTTTGAGTGAGTTGGTTTTCCCTAGCGTGTTTGTAATGCTTTCATGGTCTTGCTGTAATGGCGAGATGAAGTGACAGTTACAAGAAAAGTAACACGACGAGGGACAATAGAATGTATAGCTGTGGTAATTGGTCCGTTGGCTAACATAACCATTAAACACATAAGCTATTATGTTCGGTTTTTCCTCATGACTATAAATATTACAAACATGAGTGAATACTTATTTAAAACATATTTACGTGAATACAATAGTCCATTTATAGAGACGCTGATTTGTGGACTTTTTACAAAGGAAGAATGATTGGAATTTTTATAATCTCTCTACATTGTGAACAAATGCAAACTGTTCTTTCTCTTAGTTTAAATTTGGATGCTGAATTAATGAGCATGAATGAAAGGTGAAATTTCATAATTAAGGATGTTTGTTGCGAGGACGAAAAGTGGTCAGTTTGTCCACGTTTTCTCTTGACGTATCGTAGTTGAAGTGGGAGGTTTGTTATTTATGAATTCAACAACCATCTTAATGATAATTAAAGTGGTTACTGAAAACGGTTCTTGTTAATGAACGTAAATAGTTTTCAGGGAAGTTTCAATCCATGAATGGCACTGGCACAAAATTCTAGCTCTGGAGTTCAATGTCGTAAGGGAAGGTTAGTTTTGGAAGAGCTATCTACATGATTCGTTTGGAAGGAAACCTAGTTCAGAGATGTCAAGCTTTTGTGGAAGTTACAAATGTCAAGCTGTTTCTCTCCATCGGAACACTTTAAAAATTAGAAATCGAAATATTTTGACGGTACTGGAATTTGCTGAGAAAATTTCTTATATCGATCTTAATACACTTCTTGATAATGGAATCACCTTGCTCCAATTAAGTTCATTGCTATCAAACTTACTAGTTTGACAAAAACCCGGTCTAGTCTCGAGCCAAATATGAATGGCTGTGTTGAAAATTACTTCCTCGTGAGTAGGTGCATTTGAAATATTATTTGGAGTTTTTTTTATGAAATAAGCGTTGTGCTTCATCAAATATCATCGGCCAGTTTTTTAGCGGTCAGGAAAAACTAGGAACGCAGATGTGTTT